AAGCGTTTCAAAAACATAATTTCGATTTGTAGTATTTAGAAACTTAGCTAGATTAACTATCTGAGACGGTACAGTGCCCAGATATGACACTTGATGATGACTTATTGTTTTTGAAAACAATTCCATATCAAGCTGTCCGTAAGGATGAAGAATAATCACCTGACCGCCTACCATTATAGTACCTAAAGTCTCGCTCAGATGTGCATCAAAAGTTACTGATGTGTGATGAAGTGAAGTATCAGATGCTTTGATTATGTAAGATCTTATATACAGCACGAAGTTACGATGACGCAATTGAACCTGAAATTATTGAATCAAATAGAATATAGCATTGTTCTGTATTACTTAAATTAAATGCACATACCGCTTTTGGTATGCCAGTTGAACCACTTGTGAAAATGATATAAGCAATATCATTGGGTGCCACTCTGACATCGGATAGTCGATCAATATCAATATTACTCTTTGTATCATGATTAGTCAATATCGAATGAATATCAATCAAAACAATACCGTTATCATGAAATTTCGCTCTTGTCAACCAGTGAACAAGAACAAGGCGACTTTGAGTTTGATTTACAAGTGTATTTAAACGATGCTCTGGATCTCGAGGTGATAATGGACAATAAATACCACCAATCATCTCTATTGCCATTATACCAATCACCTATACAATATGAAAACTCCAATCACACTAAACATCAATCCACAACAACAACTCACCATCGACAAACTTCTCTCAACACATTGGCAAATGATCTCACCTGGAACAACGACATATTGATTTATAAGATGTAAAGATAATACCTGGGCATAATATAACAGTTCAGCATATGTTAGAGATTGTTCATCCAACTCAACTGCTAGTTTTTGTGGATGTTTCATTACTTGATAAACAAATTCATGATGAATGCAAGTGACAGCAGATGGAAATGATACTTGTGTATTGTTCATTGATTGCACGAGTAATCTTTCATTTGGTAATGTTAATGATATTTCATAAATTGGTTTATTCATTTGATTATCAATAGATATAAATGATTGTCTTAACATTGAATGAAATCGTTGAGATATTTTATCAATTGTTTCTACATTGAACAAATCAAGTGATGCATTGATTGTGCATGAGAGTTGATTAATATTGAGATCATGTTGAATTAGAAGTGAGAAATCATACTTATTTCTAACTCCGTTATCATTAATGTCCATTGTGGAAGGTATGGAAGAAAGTTGACAATCATCAATCATTATTAGTTTGTTGTCACTTCTTGCCATAGATGATAGAAATTGAAATGATATATCAAGAAATGCTGGTTTTGAAACATTTGGATGTTGATTGAGAATACGTTGAAGAGGAAAATATGAATATTTCATACTATTGGCTGTCATCTCTCGAACATAATCAAGTAGATAATGAAAAGACCAATGGGGATCTAGTTGACATCTGAACGGAATGATGTTCTCGAACAGTCCAATCATAGATTTTAGTTCATCTCTATAACGATTGTCAATACTCATTGAAACACATAAATCTTTTTCACCATTCGTTAATTTGAATAAGAGGATAAAGTAAGTAGCAAGTGCTAGATGTTCATATTTGATATTGTTTGATGATGCATAGATAATAAAATCATGGGAAAGATCTTCATCAAAATCAAAAGAGATAGATGTTGTCCGATTAGTTCGATGTTCATTCAGAAGACGATATCGATCATAAGGTAATGATAAAGATTGATCGAGATGACAATCATGCAGAGTATCAAGCCAAAAGATACTTGCACCAGTCATAGACATTTGTTGTTCAATAAGAGCAACTAGAGAAGAAGAAAGAAGCAGTTGAAATAGAACAAGGAATTGAATATACTTACAATCGAGATAACGTAGAGTAGTGTCATTATCAGTTGTTAGTTGGCCTGTTTTGTAAGCTTGATCGAGATCATGAAGAAATATATTCATTGATGGATAATCAAAAACAGCATGATGAAAATTGAAAATAATTATATCTTTATTGGAAAGGATGTTGTTTGAAGAGATGTGTTTATAGTAAATAATATGACATCGAAAGACAAGACCTTGAGCAAGATCAAAAAGATGAGGATTACACTTCTCATTTTCGATGATAGCATTGAGTTGTTCATCTGTTTCATAAGTGCTTTCAGTAATTGTAAACATACCATTATTGATATCGTGTTGATTGAGAACTCGTTGCATGAGTTGATTGCTTTTAGAATCATAGATGAGTGATGTATGAAGTGATTCATGTTTATTGACAATAAGTTGAAGAGCATGACGAAGTTGTTCTACAGATAAAATAACTTCTGTGTAGAGACGGTAGAAAAATGGCACATTATGGATTGTTGAAGATGATTGATCAATATCGGCATCTCTTTGATTTTCGTACCATATTCGATATTGTGCAAAGGATGCTGGTGCTATAAAAATTAAAGTTTAGTTAGTTGCAGTGAGTAATCATACTAATTAATTGCTGTTTTATAATATTATTGTCACTCTAGTTGATTTACTTCCTATCTGAATTCAATCAGTATTCTTGCCAGTTGCAAGAGTCAACCAGGTCATATTTAAAGATATAAGTCATCTGGATATACATCAAAATTCACGAAAAAAACTACTGCCAATGTTTATTATAAACTTTTAGTAATGAAGTTTTCAAACAATAGAAGAATATTTTCATAGCAAAAGAAGCTTTTCGCTTATATCGTATTATGTCATTTCAGTATTCTCATTAGTATACATCCATATGAGTTTGTGATGCATGTAATATTAATCATGCTTTAGATTAGAACATTTTACTTTGGAATAGAAAAAAACCATTGTACAGAAATCTCAAGAAGGCAACGTGAGATCTGAAATTGAACTGTCTGCATGTTTTCACTTCAACCAAAAAGAAACGATCCTACAGCAAGTACAATAATATACCAATACATAGTTCACCTAAATCCCCACTTGACGTTAATTTTTCTAACTGATATGAGTGCTATATGCATAAAAACAAATAAAAACTAAGCATACCTTCATTAACAATATTTTCCAATCTACGAAACATTATCGCTTGTCTTTCTTCCATTTCTTCTGGTAGAATAAGATCAACTTTTG